AATATGATTTTTTAGTAAAACTGTGTTGTCATTTTGTAAAAGGATTTTGGTGTACAATCGCTACCCACCGGCAATCCTTTTGTTGATTGACTAGCTCATACAAGCAAGCTTTTGCAGGTTTGTCCATATCGGTGGTTGGTTCATCCAGAAGGACAATACGGCTACCTCCGATAAAAGCTAGCGTTATGTTAAGTTTCCGCTTCTCACAAGGAGATAGTTTACAAACAAGCTGAAGGAAGTGGGATACGGTAGGGCTATCAATAAATTGATATAAAAAAAGGTGCAATCATTGCTTTACCTTATTTCTAAAACTATCCATGTCAAGACTTTGTATCAAAACTTCTGCTTCGCCTAACCATTTTTCCTTTGCTTTTCTAGCTTTTGGACGTTTCATAAAATAGAAGAACCATAAATGTTCCATTACTGTCAAGTTATCATATAGCAAGTTTTTCTGCGGGCTATATCCTATTTTTGTGCGGCATAAAGTTTTTGCCAAGAAAATATCATTATTCAAGATTTTAATATGTCCTGTAATTGTGAATTCGCGCACAGAACTGTGTGGGAGGTTGGTCACGTACCTCGAGTGGGTCGTATAGTGCCGCAGATCATCTTAAGGGTTGTCGTTTTTCCAGCTCCTCTATGTCCAAGTATAACGCTGACCTAGAATCAAAACTTAAAGACAGCGAAGTCTTCTGATGTGGTTTAATTGCGAAACATTTGGTGATACGCTCCAAAAAGGGCGTGACCTAGTCCCTTGCGTGTCACGACCCTTTTTGGAAGAGTTATCTCTTGTGCTCTTCTGAGATAATTTGTTGCGACAGTAAATGGTAAGTCCATACCTCTCCCGGATATGCTCGAATTTCAAAACGATATACGGAAAGCTCTCCACTTGTATTCCAAACTTTGGCTACATCTTCAGCATCAACGTCTGCTTTTCCTTCACGAACTTCTTCGTCTTGATGCCAAGAATGCCTCTCAGTTTGACTTTTGAGCTGCTCCTGCAATTTTCTCCTCTTTGATGAGCAGGAAACG